CACACACACACACACACACACACACACACACACACACACACACACACTATAGATTGTCTGCTTCATGTTCAGTGTCACTGATAGTTTGTGATAAAACAAAATAACTGAGTTTGACAATATCTGGTTCTTTGATGAAAAGCATTTAGGCCAAAGGAGATCAGTCAACTACGACTCCCAGGGTGCACATCATTAACAAACAGCCAATCACAGTGCATCATGTTCTAGTATGTGCAGAGTTGTGTGCAGAGTTGTGTACCTGTCGTCTCCATTTCTCTGCTTTCGGAAGTTCATTGCACTCCGATGCCAGAAAAGGTCTCCTCTCCTGCAGACAGGTGAAGACAGGTGAACATCATCATACAGACAGACAGGTGAAGGTGAGCACTGAAGCTACAACGAAGCCACATAGAGGCTACAGTGAGGCTACAATGGTGTTCAACACATGCTTTGACGTACTGAAGAAACGGTACAATACTTCATGTTGTAGAAAAGACTAGAACACAGAGTAGAACCTGACCTTGACTTTTCCCTCCTCCAGCTGAGCCTGTCTGAACCGAGCCAGAGCCGTCCTGAGAGACACGGAGGAGGAACACAGTTAAAGACAGTAGAACCACAGTTAAAGACAGTAGAACCACAGTTAAAGACAGTAGAATGCCACAATCCTTTTTGAGCTTGAACTTTTAGTTTCCTCATGTGATATTAGTGATAAATCTATTCTGATGATCAATTAATCATTTTTGAAACATTTGTTGGTTCCAGGAACCTTAAAGGATTTATCAACTCATCGAGAAAGTCTAAATATTAATAAAAGCAGCTGTTCGATTGAATTATTAAACATCCAAAATGAATTATGCGTGTGTGTGAGGAAATATTGCTTTGAGTACAGAGTACACAGAGTATATACAGAGTACACAGAGTATATACAAAGTACACAGTAAATACTTACATGGCCTTCTCAGCGTTACGCGCCTGTGGAAAAGGACAGATGTTATAACAACACATGAAGAAAACATCAAACATACAGACAATCTTATTAAATCATTATATAAATGTTATGAATTCAATATAATTCAAATTATATAACCTGAGACTGTATTGTATAATAAAATCTAATAAAATAAATTGCTCAAAGGAGTATTTAATAAATTGAGAATTCAAACCAGAAGCTAGTGAATATTTAACTGGCTTTAAGAGACTGTTGAAGTTAGCATGCTAACTAGCCTCACTAGCCTAACTAGTCAGAGTCAGACTGGAGATCAGCTGCTTACCATTTCTGCTGCTGCTGCTTTTTTATGTGTTTATGAAGAATCCGTTTATTAAAAAAGCACGAACTGAGGGGAAACTAAACGATCCACACACGCCGACACAAACAGGAAGTACTTCTGCGGCTTCTTCTCCAGCTTCCGGTTTCGTGACGTGTTTATCGCCCCGTCACTGCCTCCTACTGGAGAGGTCTTAATCACCCTCCACCACCATAACGTACAATACAATACGCATAAAACAAATACAAATAAACACACACATATCTAAACCAAAATACATACAAATATAAAATAAAAGTTATAAAATGAAAATAAAAAAGATGAACGTATGAACGAACTAAAATTATTATGCAAATAAAAATGTAAATACGAAAAAATAGAAAAATAGAAAACATAAAATAACAATAATATAAAATAAAACCAAATTAATTAATTTAAATTAATAAAATAAAGAATACATAAAAAATATCTTTATAATATTCTTTGCACTATTTATATGTATTTACAATTTGCAGGAACAAACTTCCCAATTACTATGGAAGCTCATTTCTTCCAGGAAAAGAAAAAAACATTATTAAAGTTCGGCATGATGAAAGTTTAAATATTTATGTCTTACTTTAAACTCATTCAATCAAAGCTTTCGCTCACTCTCCTTATTTTAAATTACTGATAACAATGAGTAAGCCTCAATACATAAAATAGTTCCTTTCAGGAAGTATCTTGGTAATTCATTAATTTGTAAATGACAGATGTGTTAAATAAATGTCGTTTTGTTGTTGTTGTGAAATAAATTGATCAGACAAGAGTGCGTCTCGGCTCCATCGTCTTTCTCCTCTTTCATGTTTTTTATTCTCAGGTTAAATTTACAGTCTGCAGTACAACCAAATTACATTTTTACAGTAGCTCTGAGTGATATACAAAAATAACATTTGGATGTTCTTGTGAAAACATTCTCTCTCCAGACTTAAAATTGTGTTGTTATTTTTTTCTTTCAATTATTACTCTTTTGTCTTCATCGGTGAGGTGATCCGTCTGGTCCAAAAAGCAACAAAATGCACCTTTAATTTATGAATTATTAACATTCCTTCTGTTGTCTGCTGTGACCTGATTGGCTCATTTGTTTCCCTTTGTGTTAATAAAGTGTCCAGACTCGCAAGGTGATTGGCTGTTTGCTGGAGGCGGGGCCAATCACATTCCTTTCAACAAACTGGGTTTTGTCCAGAACAAGAAAATAAAGTTAACCCCCACCCCCACACACATGTTATTTAGTTTTTCACTCTACTCTCTCTAAAACAAAGCTTTGCACATCATGACACACTAAAAACACAAACTCAGTTTTTTCTCATTCATTTTTTTTGGTTTTTTTAGTGTCCGTCCCTTCCCCTTCCTCCACCTGCTCTGACTGGCTGCTGTGAGGCTGACTGACAGGCCTCTGGGCCAATGACAAGAGGAGGATCACAGGAAATGAATAAAGAGAAAGAAAGAAGAGATGAAAGAGGGTGAGGGTGGCTAGACGGTGGCCTCGATGGTGCACTCCTTGGCCAGGTGACCCGACTTCCCACAGTTATAGCAGTTCAACTCCGATGCCTTGCTGCAGTGCACCGCAACATGGCCGATCTCCCCACACCTGCGGCAAACACATGCACTGCTAACACCGCTGACAATGCTAACAATGCGAACACTGTGGAACCAGCAAGTACAACAACACTGAAGAGACTCAAAACTAAACTGAACCGTACTTCTTTGCTTTATTTACCTCCACTGCAGTTAGTTTACCTGTTGTATTAGTTTACCTGTAGCTGTTAGCTTACCTGTAGTATTACTTTACATGTAATTGTAAGTTTACCTGTAACATTAGTTTACCTGTAGTATTAGTTCACCTGTGGCATTATCTTACCTGTAGTGTTAGTTTACCTGTAGCTGATACCTGTAGCTGTTAGGCTACATCCACACAACTACTCCGTCCACACGGCGTTTCAGCATCGTTTTCTAAATGATCTCCGTCCAGACTAAAATGCCTGAAAACGAATATCACGTGACTATTCACGTGATACATAAAATCTTCCTCTATAAACTCAAACAGACACATTTCGTGGAAAGTTTTAGAAGATTTATTTTTCAGACTTAGTTACAGCGCTGCAGGTGTTGCTCTATCTCTCTCTCTCTCACATCAAATTTACTTTAAAATGAACACTTACATATAATGGTTTACTAGATTATGGGTCCATAAATGTGGTCAACACACGTCTCTCACTCGTTCCCTCTCGGTTTCGTTGTTGTCTGTTCTCACTCGTAGCTCTGCTGGTGGCTGAAGTCTGTCTACTGGAGAGCAATTCATGTTTTGTTCCTTTATAGTTTATCTGCGGACTTCACAATAGTTGTGCAGAACAAAATTAGCATTAACAAGGACAGGAAAGTCCTCTGTTTTGTGTCCATCACCCTCCCTAAAGCAGCTAACCGTGCTCCGTAGGGCTGATAACCCCGCTGGTCCCGCCGCTCACTAATCGCTCCAATAACAGCTGCTTCCTCCGCAAAAATGCAGACTTTAACTGGACAACGGCTGCTAGTAAAGACAACAAGGTCAGCAACACCTGTAATCAGTTGTCCATGTTGAATTAACCTGGTAGTCGATCGGTAATCAATGTTGTCGTTTGTGATCTTCCGGGAAAGATCACGTGATAGGGGTGTGACGAATCAGGGAAGGACACGTCGTGACTGCTAAGAATCAATCAAGTAGCGAACGCAGGTGTGGGCGTCATCGTTTCCAAACTTATCCATTTTCGACCGTCCACACGAATACGCAACCCCGGCGTTTTCAAACTCCTCCATTTTCGGTGCTCGAAAACGCCGGCGTAGTGTGGACGCTCAGTGTAAACGTAGCAAAACATACGTGTTTTCAAATGGAAACGGAGTAGTGTGGACATGGCCTTAGTTTACCTGTAGCTGTGAGTTTACCTGTAGCTGTGAGTTTACCTGTAGCTGTGAGTTTACCTGTCGCTGTGAGTTTACCTGTCGCTGTGAGTTTACCTGACACTGTGAGTTTACCTGCAGCTGTTAGTTCACCTGCAGCTGTTAGTTCACCTGTGGCTGTGAGTTTACCTGTAGCATTTGACCTTCTCGCAGCATTTCTGGATGTGTCCGAAGCCGCCACAGGAGTAGCATTTCTGCTCGTGGGCATGGTTGCAGTCCCTGGCCATGTGTCCGGCCTTCCCACAGTTGTAGCACAGCTGCTCTCGCTCCTTCTTGGGCTCCTTGCAGTCTCTGGAGATGTGACCTCCTCTGCCGCAGTTATAACAGGCTGCAGGGACGATAGCAGTCAGGGGTTAGGAAATGGTTAGTTATAGAGTAGTTTAGTTTTAGTCATGAGTTAGTGAAGTGTTGGTCATGGGTTAGTGAACTGTTTGTCATGGGTTATAAAGTGTTGGTCATGAGTTAGTGAAGTGTTGGTCATGGGTTAGTAAAGTGTTGGTCATGGGTTAGTAAAGTGTTGGTCATGGGTTAGTGAAGTGTTGGTCATGGGTTAGTAAAGTGTTGGTCATGGGTTAGAGAAGTGTTGGTCATGGGTTAGAGAAGTGTTGGTCATGGGTTAGTGAAGTGTTGGTCATCGGTTATAAAGTGTTGGTCATGGGTTAGTAAAGTGTTGGTCATGGGTTAGAGAAGTGTTGGTCATGGGCTAGTAACGTGTTGGTCATGGGTTAGTAACGTATTGGTCATGGGTTAGTAAAGTGTTGGTCATGGGTTAGTGAAGTGTTGGTCATGGGTTAGTAAAGTGTCGGTCATGGGTTAGTGAAGTGTTGGTCGTGGGTTAGTGAAGTGTTAGTCATGGGTTAGTAAAGTGTTGGTCATGGGTTAGTGAAGTGTTAGTCATGGGTTAGTGAAGTATATGTCATGGGTTATACAGTGTTAGTCAAGTGTTAGTTCAGCAATAATAAAGTGTCAGTCAAGTGTTAGTTAAGCGTTAGTAAAGTCTTAGACATGGGTTAGTCAAGTGTTAGTTAAGTGTTGGTCATGGGTTAGTAAAGTGTTATGTTGGTCATGGGTTAGTAAAGTATAAACAATGGGCAAAGGGTTAGTAACGTGCTAGTTAAGTGTAAGTAATGGGTAAGTTAAGTGTTTGTAACATGTTCGTCATGGGTTAGTAAATTGTAAGTGTTGGTCATGGGTTATTGAAGAAAGTTAGTCCTGTTGGACACTGTGTGTGTGTGCGTGTGTGCGTGTGTATCCTCACCGTCCTCAGTCCTTTCACAGTCTCTAGCGACGTGTCCGAGTTCCCCACATCGATAACAGAACAGATCTGAAACACACGAACACACACAGACTGATTAAAAGTGTGTGTGTAATGTTTACTAAAGATATCTTTATTTATCATTCAACACAAAGTACTAAAACTAAATTCATTCATTAATCTGCTCAGAGGTAGAAAGTAACTATGTATTTCAGCACTTCACTTCTTAAAACTAAAATACCTCAGGGGCTCATACCATAGTATTATAATAAAATAAAATATAATATATAATAAAATAACAGCTCACCTTTGCCTCTTCCGCGACCTTTCCCTCGTCCTCGCCCGCCGCTCGGACAGTTCTTCACCCAGTGACCACTGCGGCCACAACCGAAACACTCATTACTGCTCATCACCTCTGCAACGGCTGGGGCAGGCAGACAGACAGAAGACAGACAGACAGACAGACAGGCAGAGAGAGAGAGACAGACAGACAGACAGGCAGAGAGAGAGAGACAGACAGACAGACAGGCAGAGAGAGAGAGACAGACAGGCAGGCAGAGACGTAGAGAGACAGACAGAGAGAGAGACAGACAGACAGACAGACAGACAGGCAGGCAGAGACACAGAGAGACAGACAGAGACAGTGTAAATGTCTCCTCTGTCTTCTGTCGATCACTTCACACTGTTTACATGAACATGTTTGTTCACGATTTACTAGAAAACTAGAGGACATAATACACATGTGATGAGTTCAGGTGCTCAGGTGTTTTCTGTTGTGTACAAACTGAACTGAACTGAACATTCTGTGGGTCCACAACAGATTCTCTGATCACAGGAGGATTTAATGATTAAATTAAACTTTTTTTTGTTGTTGACCAGCTGACATCACTTCATCAAACATTGTTCTCCAGCTAAACATTTTATTTACAGCAGCAGTGCGATAACATCCTCTGATGATTCAGGTGTTGTCTGTTGTCACAGAGTAGCTGATGAGGGACCATCGAGGACCGGACTACCCCCGGCCTGACGCAGCTATCAGGCGGCTAGATGCGGCCACCAGCCGGAGGTCTCCGCTCGGGGATAAACTCATAAAACAGTCCCTCCTCCGGCTCAAATTGCAGGTTCCCCCGCTGTGTGCACCCTCCTCTAAACAGGCCCAGTGCTAAACATGCTAGCAGGTTATCGTATGCTCCACAGCGGGATAAATGCGCTCCCTCTCCGGGTGAGTAACCGCGACAGAGCGGCTCGCCTGCAGCCCGGTGGTGGTGAGCCCGCTGCGGGGAGAGAAAAAGCGGATTGATGATCGGCCGGAGCTGAAACTCACCTCAGACCACCGAAACTGTTTTGTTTTCTCTCTTCTACGGCACCACGTACACACACACACACACACACACACACACACACACACACACACGTCCTGCTGCATTCAGCTGCCGCCGGAAAAGTCAGAAATATCAGGACAAATCCCATGCATTGTTTTATTTGAATGTAGGCCTACATCTATTTATTGATTGTTAAATACTGCATGCAATGTAGTGATGATTTAATAAAATAACAATCCACTCAGCACAATTTCCTCCAGCTCCCAGTACTTCCCATTGATAATGTTCACTTCCTGCCATTTTTGGGTGCTCAGTTATCTTATTTTGAATAATTAGATTTAGAGACTAATTTAGTAAAAGTGAATTATTGACCGTCCAGTAAGCATGAGTACTTTTGTTTACTATATTTGATGACATTATATTCAAAATCAATAGAATGGCTTTATGGTCTTTAGGTTTGACGGATTAATTTTAATTATACAATGCAAGTAGGATAAGGATTCAGAGATTAACCAAAGATCTATTCTTGACTCTAAAGATCCAGACTTGTTGTTTACAGGTAAATTCTTAAGAGTTTGGATTGCAGATTCTTTATACATCAATTAAGCCTCTCTCATTCATAAAACCAATCATAAGAAAGTTGTCTCTTTCTTTCATATGGGTCAGCTTGAGTGAGGATGATCTTCCTGCTGAATTTGTTTTTTAGAGTTGGTGTTCCTGCTGAAAGACAAAACTCTGCATCAAAGTTTTTTGCATGAAGAAACAATGCCTTTAATTTATTAATGTATCTCTGACATTGAGCATTAACTAAAACAGAGCTTAATATAAGACATCATAAAACAGAACTATAATCACTGTAACCTGAGTTGTAAAAGTTTGTTATATGCAGAAAGCAGAACTCCTGTAGCTGAAACTGAATAGACAGTCAATATATCCCTTTATCCACAAAGGCTCTTCCTCCGACAAAGTAAACAATCTTCTCGACAGGCTTGCTGGATTACTGGCCATGGTCGGTTGAGTTTTCCTCAATCCTCTGGAGTAAGATCTTCCTTGAAGCAGATAATTCTTTTCCTCAAGTATTTAGAGTGTTTGGCCATGTTTGAGACCAAAAATGTCTCATAGGAAACAAAAGATGACATTGGGACTTGTTCTTTTGCTCAGTGTTTTCTTCCAAGCCCAGGAACCAAATCAATCACTTCTAGAAATGTCTCTTTAAAGCCCGGAGCAACATTTTGACAGAATGACGATCACCTTCATTCTCACCTCCTCTTCCGATTCAGGCAGACCAAGTTGGCGCAAGTTCCACATTCTTTAGTAATTCGCCAAGAGAAAGACATTAGAGCTGCTCAATAGACCAATTGAAGAGCTTTGTTCCTTGATAGCTAGCTTGAGCACAGCTGTCTGCCATTTCTTGTTCCATTTTAACTTTCCTTGAGAATTTTATCGGATTCCCTTCCAGTGGAGAAAACCTGATAATATGCCCTCTGGGGTTCCCTTCTATGAGAGAAAACTTGATTAACTTCTCTCTAGGGTTCCCTTCCAGTGGAGAAAATATGATTAACTGCCCTATAGGGTTTCTTTCCAGTGGGGCAAATCATAAAGTGCCCACTAGAGTTCCCTTCCATTGGAGAAAATGGGATGAAGTGCCCTCTAGGGTTTCCTTCCAGTGGAGAAAACGTGATTAACTGCTCTATAGGGTTTCCTTCCAGTGGAGGAAACGTAATGAAGTGCCCGATAGGGTTTCCTTCATGTGGAGAAAACATGAAGTGCCTTCTAGGGTTCCCTTCCAGTGGCAAAAATGTGAAGTGCCCTCTAGGGTTTCCTTCCAGTGGAGAAAACATTATGAAGTACCCTCTAGGGTTCCCTTCTAGTGGAGAAAATGTGATGAAGTACCCTCCAGGGCTCCCTTCCAGTATATGAACTGAGCTGTTAATGACTTAATGAGATGCAGGTGAGCAGGTGTGTCAGGCAACTGTAGGGTTGATGAGAAAAGTGGGAACAGGTGAGTAGATTGGGTGGGGCAGTCAGGTGATGGGGAAAGGACGGAAAGTCTGAGGTCGTCTGGTGGATGGATGGGAAATGGCAATAAAGGGGCCTGAGAGGAGGGACAGAAAGACAGACTGTGAGACTGGTCAAGCTGGCATTTGGTTTTACCACCAACATGTCCGGCAAAAAGAGGCGAGAGGAAAATAAATCCTGGTTCACCAATCTCTATTCAAAAGTAGTTTCATTGAGAAGAAAAAAACATTTCATTTCAACATTATTTCTTTAAATTTCAGAAGAAAGATAATTTTTCATGTATTTATTTATTTTATGTTTGGGTATTACTCCTCTTCTATTTGTCACAATGAAAATAACAATTAAATTCACATTTTAAATAATCTCTGAACGCCATCACAGTGAGGGGGGGGCGGGTCTTTACGGCTGGCAGCAGGAAGTTTATGGATTACTGATTACTGAGTGAGATATGAAAGCAGTCAAAGGTCACAAAGACGACGACTGAAAGAATATACAAACAACCTTCAACAGCACAACTGTTGCAAAAGAACCGATCTGCTTCAGGAAACAAGAACCAGACACCGTCAACTGAACTGAGGATTGAGATGAAGAGTTAACCAGGAAATAAACGTTAAACAAACACACAGTGAGTTTCAGCTTCAGTAATCCTATGTTCAGGTTTTAGAGCCACAACATTGACGAGGACTCAAAAAATGTAAACAAATCTGATTCCTACATGTTTTTTTCTGAGCGTGATAACTTTCACTCTGGCGTTTTATGCACAAATTGATAATCTATTTAGAGAACTGGATGTAAATAAAAAATCAATACATAGGCCAAAGAAAAATATGCAGCATTTATAGGTAACACAGGTGAACACACTCCCAGGTGAGTGCTGAACATGTAATATCATCAGGTGAAGGTAAGTCCGTCAGCTCAGAGCAGACACAAAAACTAAATACTCTGCTGGTTCTCCTGCTAATGCTCCTTCTTGTTCTCATTCAGGTTTGGTTCTGCTTTCCAGAGACTCGTATGGCTTCTTGCCTTGATGAGCAAAAGTTGCCTCTTTTCTTTTAGGGATTTAAGTTTTTGATTGTTAAGAAATTGGGTTTCACTGTGTTGGTTCCTCTGCTGGTTCTCCTCAAGGTTTCACTCTGTTAGTTCTCCTGCTGCTTCACCTGCTGGTTCTCCAGGTTTAATTCTGTTGGTTCTCTTCAAGGTTTCATTCTGTTGGTTCTCCTCCAGGTTTCACTTGGTTCCTCTGTTGGTTGCCCTCAAGGTTTCACTCTGTTGGTTCTCCTGTTGATTCTCCTCCAGATTTCCATTTGTTCATTTTCTGTTGGTTCTTCTCCAGGTTTCCATTTGTTAGTTTTTCTGTTGGTTCTTCTCGAAGGTTTCACTCTGTTGGTTCTCCTGCTGGTTCCGTGGTTTCACCCTGTTGGGTCTTCTTCTGGTTCTCCTCCAGGTTTCACTCTGTTGGTTCTTCTGCTGGTTCTCCTCCATGTTTCACTCTGTTGGTTCTCCTATAGGTTCTCCTGCTGGTTCTTCTCCTGGTTCTCTCAGCGAGTGGCCATGCTGGGAAGAACAGGACCCTTCAGTGGACGTTGCAGGTTTGAGCTCCAGCAGTCCCGTCACTCCTTTTCCTCCCCTCCCCTTCCGCGTCTCAGACTCCATTACCCAGCAGGCAGTGAGAGCAGGAAGTACAGGACTGGGCAGGAGGTGGAGCCGATGAGCTTAGCTCATGTCAACCGCATCTTAAAGGTGAGTAAGATCTGTAATTCAAGGTGTCAATCCAACAACCGGTCAAACCACTGATCTCTCCCTCTTCTGTTACCAGGCCAACGAATACAGCCACACCCTGCCCAGAGGCCCCGCCTCCCATGGTGTTCTGGGTTTCCATAGCAACATGCTACCATCCAACCATCCCAGCGAGGACCGCCGGAGCAGCGCCACCTGTCTGCCGGGCCGCGGCGGTGTACTGTTCGGCGTGTTCGACGGCCACGCTGGGACAGCCTGCGCTCACGCCATCAGCCAGAGGCTCTTCTACTACATCGCGGTGGCAACGCTGCCGTTGAAGACGCTGGCGGAGCTCGAGCGGGCGGTGGAGGAAGAACGGGCCGTACAACCGTTGCTGGAGTGGCACAAACATCCTCAGGACCACAACTGCCCCGACGGTGGAGCGATCTCCTTCCAAAGCCTCCGGAACTACTGGCAGGAGAGACTGGCGGGTGAAGAGGAAGAAGAAGAGGAAGAGGAGGTAGGGTTGGCTACTAGAAACTGAAATAAAAGCATTTTTTAGTACATGTACCAAATGTTTTCGTGGTTGCCTCGTGGCTCGTTGACTTCTGATCTTTCAGTTCCACTGACGGGAAGAGAGCGCAGCTTCAAAGCTGTCGCATGTTGCGATGTCATCATCTGTCTCCTCTCTGATTGGCTGCAGGAAGGCTGTAGGGTGACATCGGCGCTGGTCAACGCTTTCCGTCACCTGGACTATGACCTGTCCGTGGAGGCCCAGGTCCACCTGTCCATGTCTTCACCCAGGTCCTCATTCTATGGTCAAACTCCTTCTGCTCTGCTTTAAAACTCCTTCACTGTCACAGTTCCAATCGAAAATGTAAAAAAGCTACAGTTTCATGTGTGTTTAATTTACAAGCTAAACAACAGTTTTTTCTTCTTTTTTTAAGTCTATCCGAATGAAACACGAACATGTCTGTGTGTTTATGTAAAGAGTTGTTGGTAAGAGTATAATCATCCTGGCTGAAGATAATATGAGTCTTCAATAGTTTGAGTTACTCAAAACAAGCGTAGCTCTTTTTCACTACAAGAACCACAGACTGTATATAAGAAGTGGATGTAGTCATCGTTATGTCATCCATTGGTTTGTGGACTGACGTTATGAAGCCTTGAGTTCGGCGACGTCATCTTGGATTACGACCGTCGCCATGTTGTTATTTCCACAACCAATGAACTGAAGTTACCATATTTGGACTGTGGAGGAGTGACGAAGAGACGCCGTATAGTCTCTGGTAGCGGCAGCGACCTGTCAATCACAGTAATCCCCGCCCTAAAGCATCCCCTAATTTATGGTCTATTTGACTCTAAATGGACCATAAGTTACTAAATGAACATCATGCTGTATTGAAGAAGACTTGAAACTAGAGATTGAGACCATCAACTCATGTTTACAATGTTTACTGAGGTAATAAATCAAGAGAGAAGTAGAGTCATTTTCTCATAGACTTCTATACAACCAGAGGGGTCGCCCCCTGATGGTCATTAGAGAGAATGCAAGTTTTAAGACATGAAGCATCGGCTTCACTCGGCAGAACCGGAGGTTGCCGGCTGACAACAACATACTGATAAGTTGGTTCCTCACTGAACCTGAACCAGTAAGATACTTAGATCTCAGCCCAGATTAATTATGTTCATATTGGACAATTCTCTGTTACAGCTACACCAAACATTTTGTGTCCATGCAAGAAGGAGTGTGTTCTTTGTGTAGAAAGGAGGACAGTATGCTGCATAATCCACTGTTTTCATTGGCTGCTTTCAGCTTTAGTCACCAGGTGATCTCTGTCCACAGACGGGTGTCTCTCCCTGGGGAGGCGTTGTCTCTGTCCTCCCCCCTCCGGGTGGCGCTGTCCGGCAGCACGGCTTGCATCGCCCACGTCTCCAAGGGCGTCCTGCACGTGGCCAACTTGGGTGACAGCAGGGCCGTCCTGGGCGTCAGGGAGCCCAACGGGAGCTGGTCGGCGGTCAGCCTCACCAACGACCACAACGCACAGAACCCAGACGAGCTGCAAAGGATTCTGGGGGAACATCCGCCGTCAGAGCGGAAGACGGTGGTCCGCCACGACCGCCTGCTGGGTCTGCTGCTGCCCTTCAGGGCGTTCGGCGACGTCCGTTTCAAATGGAGCGCAGAGATGCTCAGTCGCATCTACGAAACGCGACAGGACGTCCTGTCTGCGGTCGGCGAGGTGTTCCGGACTCAGCCACCGCACTACCTGACCCCGCCCTACCTGAGCGCGCAGCCGGAGGTCACGCTCCACCGCATCACACCTGCCGACAAGTTTCTGGTGCTGGCGACTGACGGACTCTGGGAGCTGATGCACCGACAGACGGTCGTCCAGCTGGTAGGGGAACAGTTGACAGGTAAGAAAACTAAGATCCTCACCAAGTCTAATTATCATCATTTACACTTTAACTGCCAGTTCAACTGCTTTCATCATTTACACTTCAACTGTGTAAACATGCATAAAGCGTTACTTGTAAATGACAACAGCAGGTGAAATGTAAATGATGAAAGCAGTTGAACTGGCAGTTAAAGTGTAAATGATGACAGCAGATGAAGTGTAAATGATGAAAGCAGTTAAAGTGTAAATGAAAGTAGTTGGAGTGTAAATGAGGAGCACTTGAACTGGCAGTGTGAACAGTGGAAGTGGTTTATTGCTGTCCAGGCCTTCAGCAGCAGAGACCCATAATGCCCGGGGTGGGCATGACACTGGGCAGCCTGCAGCACCTCCTGCTGGAGAGGAAGGGGCGGGTCCTGTCAGTGCTGGAGGACCAGAACTCCGCCACCCACCTGCTCCGTCACGCCCTGGGGGATGACGGGTATGGAGCGGTGGCACCAAACCATCTGGCCAAGATGCTGAGTCTGCCGACAGAGCTGGCCAGGAGGTACCGCGATGACATCACCGTCACCGTCATCCACCTGAACGAGCCCGACCTTTAATCAGGAGATCACCTGCTCGGTAACCACCCAGGTGATAAATTAGTAACTTGTATTTTTATTCTGAAGATTTGTTACATGCTTGTCTGTTGCTCTTTGAACTTAAATAATAAAGTTTTGGTTAAAGTTCCAATTCTTTATTCCTGTCATTTCCACAACAATTACAGAGTATCAATCGTTGGCTATTGCGATTTTCAGCGTACTTTAGTCAAATTTGAGGTACTTGAACTTCCCATTTTATGCTGCACCACATCTGAGAGGGAAACGTGATCTTGTTTGTGTATACAAAGTATTTTAAAACGGTTTTAATTATAAATACAATTAAAACAAAGACCTTTCAGGACCGTGAATGCTCCACAATTCTCTAAAAGAGAACATTCTGCAGAATGAGTACTTTTACTTTTGATATTTTAGTACATTTTACTAGTATTCAGGACTTTTACTTGCAACAGAGTAATTTCACACGGCGGTATTGTTGAGTTTGAAGTACTTATATATATTGCCTTAATTTTATTTATTTAGCTAGTATGTCATTTGTAAAAATTAAACATTGCAGGAAAAGTGAATGATATACTTTATATAATATAAATACATCTCATATCAAACTATATGCTCAGCCTCACATGCCAGTGAATGGAAGTAATGATTACAAATATCAGATTTTAAACATTTGTCTTCAGTTAGGCTACTTAAGTGGCTCTAATATCTGGAGCTGTAAACACCTGCTCACAGGTGTCTCATTCAGCCAATCAGAATGCAGTATTCTCAGTGAGCATAATACAAAAAGAACACAGCAGCTGACAGTGACTTCAAAATAAGATTTAATAAAGGATTTTACAAAATCAAATTCTTAGAAAACACTTCAATACCAAACAGACTTCAAACCAACCAATCAGCTGACACCGTCATCAGCCGGTCTCCCCACAGCTCACAGAGCTCAATCATTGGACGATACACAAAACAGGCCACGCCCAGAAATTCTAATGAGAATGAACAGGAAGTAAAACAGGAAGGAAAGGAACAAACAGCGTCCCTCCTCTCAGACCTGATAAACAGAAGTGAAACTGACTCGTCCGTGTCGACCAATAGAGGAGGAGGATGTACAAAAGTCCGACGTCCAATCCGAGTGTAGCGTCGTTGGCGAGTCATCGTCTCGGGGGCAGGGCCATCGGCAGTGTGGTGGTGACGGACTCTGGGAACAGGTTGTGGTAGGTGGGCAAAGGGATGTAAGCCGCCGTGATCATCTTACCTGAAAACAACAGGTGAGATATCACAGCTGCTCTCTGATTAGTCCACAGCACAGGTTTCATGTGACAGGTTCTCTTACCAGCAAAATATCGTCCGTGTAGAGCGTTGACGGCGGCCATGGCAGCAGGGATCGACGGACACTTGACGTAAACGTTTCCCTGTAAACAAGCAGAGGTCACAGGTTTAAGTGTGACACACACACGCACACACACAGGTAATTAGTTAAGTAGAAACCAGTAGAATGTTGACCCAATGAAACTTAGTAGAACCAGATTACAGAGAAAAAATTAGGGACTTAAGGTGAGAAGTGAAAACCAGTCAGTTCCTTGACCGGACTTCTACCGCCTCCCTCGACCGGACTTCTACCGCCTCCCTCGACCGGACTTCTACCGCCTCCCTCGACCGGACTTCTACCGCCTCCCTCGACCGGACTCCTACCGCCTCCCTCGACCGGACTCCTACCGCCTCCCTCGACCGGACTCCTACCGCCTTCCTCGACCGGACTCCTACCGCCTTCCTCGACCGGACTCTACCGCCTTCCTCGACCGGACTCTACCGCCTTCCTCGACCGGACTCTACCGCCTTTCTTTACTAACCTGAGCAGAGTTCTTGTCAGTGTAGATGTGAACGACTCCTCCATGTTTGTTACACTCCTCTATGACATCATGCTGGATATCCATCTCCCAACCAGGAGCTTCCTCACTGAAACACACAATGAATTGAATGTTAGTGAAAACCTGTAAATGACACACACAACTCAACACAAACCAGCAATTATCTGTGAACCCAGATGTGAGGCAGAGTTTAATAGTTAATGAGTTTAAAAGGTACCGATTAGAGGCTCATTTATAGATGCAACTCAGTATATAAAATAAAAACATAATTAGAAATCACAAGAGAGCAATTAAACAATACTCTCATGACGTGACAGTACATGAGAAAGTATTATAATACCGTCTACTATAACGGCATACACCACAATAACATAACATGATGAAGTAAAAATACTTACTATTTGCTTGTATTAATGTAGAAATATCATCTAGTACACCACGTTATAAAACAGTACAACATATAGTATATAAAAGAGAATATAAGGTCATATATAGTCATATATAAATAGCGTATAGCAGACAGGTGTGTGTAGCTAACCGGGTTGAACATGTTGTATAGGTGTAGAGACAGACAGGTGTGTGTGTGCGTGTACCTGTTGGGATTGAACATGTTGGACAGTTGGAAGCAGTGTGTGGCGAGCGGCTGAGAGGGAAGATTCATAGGAGCGGAGTTCATGTTGCGACTCGGATTCATGGCAGCTGAAACACATTTTAAAAACTTTATTTAAAAAAAAAAAAAAAAAAAAAAAAAAATCACATTACACACACATTAACATCCATCGAGTCTATCTATTTGATTTCACACCATGGTCTGAGTGTTTACTCAATTCTGATTAATTTCTGATAATTTAAACCTCCTCAGTGGTTCCGGTCTGTTAACCGTCCTAAATTAATAGAACGTATTGATTTAAATTTTTTAGTAAATATCAGTTATTCCGTAGTTTATCTACATATACTGAGGGCTAAACTGTATTTCTTTGTACATTCCGTACCGCGAAATACAGTGTGTAACGAGAGTAAAGTTGAGCGAATGTACCATGTGATCCCGTATTCTGTCGTTTCTGACAGAGTTACAGCTGGGAACCTAGAGCACGGATGTGTGTGCGTCTGTGTGTGCGCGTGCATGCGAGCGTACCCGACACAGCAGCCATGGCTCCGAAAGCGATTGCCCCACTCATCTGCAGAGCCTGCTGAGCGGCGGGAGGCATCTGTAGACCAGTACCTGCTCACAGGTGAACCACACACACACACAGGTTAAAGGTGGATGTTACAGGCGGATGTTGCAGGAGGATGTTTGTATAATTTAGTGTCTCACCCTCAGCGAGCCGGGCCATCAGCTGCAGGCGTCCGGTGGTCCCGAGGTCGATGCCGGAGCGTTCGAGCTCGTCGCTGTCGAGGAACGAGGAGAAGGCGTCGCTCCGCTCCGTCACGTTACCCACCTTCATGGGGCGACCTGCCAGCTCGAAGCCGTTCAGCTGCTCCAGAGCTTTCTTAGCACACTCTGCGTCTGCAAACTGACAGACAGACAAACAGAGAGACAGGTCAGAGGTCATAAGGCAGACAGGTGAAGAGGGGGCAAGAGGTGAAGAGGGGGCGAGAGATGAAGATACATTTTATAGACTGAATGATGAGAGAAGATAAGAAGATCAATAATTGAAGGTGATGAAGACAACACAAACTCACAGTGATGAAGCCGTAGCCTTTAGAGGTTCCTGAGTCACTGTCCATCATCAGCTGGATGCTCTCAATCTGTGAAGATAAACAACATAAACCACCCGTCTCACTCACAGACTTTACCTGCACATGTGTTTGTGTACCAGTGTGTGTGTGTGTGTCCTACCCGTCCAAATGGCTCAAAGATTCCCCTCAGCATCTCCTCGGTGATGTTGAAGTGCAGAGAGCCAACATACAGCCTCATTGGTCCTGATGTTCCCTTCTGCAGGTTAGCTGCTGCTGCTGCCGCCGCTGCTGCTCGGTTCTTCTCTGCCTGCGCGCGCGTGCACACACACAAACACACACACACACACACACACACTTAACTCAAACTTTATTGTTATTGTGGTATAAATACAGTTACAAACTTGGTTTCAGTGTTTCCCTCAAAAACACTTTGACATGCCACCAACCCTGTGATTAAAGGACAACTAGCTCCACCCACTGAGCCACAGCCGCAGGTGTTTTTGTGTGCGTGTGTGTTTACCTGCGAGGCCTGTACGATGATGGGAACTCCCAGCAGCCTTTGCCCCGTCAGCCCAATGGCCAGAGGGACCGAGTTGGTCTCCACAAACTCGATGTAGGCGATGCCCTTCGACTTGCGGGAGTTCCGGTCCGAGATCATCCTCACGTCCCGAACCTGCAGAGGCACCAAAAGCATCCCGTAGAGTTAAACTCAAACAATAGCTACGTTTTTGTGTCTTGCAGTTTCACTACACAATGTCCTCTAATACTACAGCACTGCACTGTAGTAGATGAATGACAATAAAGTCTAAATGGGCTTTTATTGTGAAGCAGAGGTGTTTACCTTCCCAACAGCAGAGAAGAAGTCCTCCAGGTCCCGAGGTCGTATCCTGGCTGCTAACTGCATACAGAACACGGTCCGGGCGTCACGCTCCTCTGGAGTCAGGTTATCTACGGGCTTCCTGCACACACACAACCACAAACAAACACAACAAAACAATCAATCTCACAACAATTCTGCATGTTTAGCTGTTTCGCTCATCAACATTTAGACATAAACTGACCTGAGTGGACTCTTCTCCTTCCTGACGGGACTCTTACTCTTCGACCGCCTGCGTCTAAAAACACAAAACAAAGACACAGTCAGAGTTTATTCTGAACTATAACTATAGAAATATTTATGTTACAGACAGGTCTTTTATTTGTTTTATCATCAGTTAATAAACTATACAAAATAATGCTTTGCCAAATGTTTTTTTTTTTCTTTCTACATTTAAGGCTTTCTTTAAATTTGATCACCTAAAAAAACGTTATTGTGGTTCATTAATGTCATGGTGCTGTTAGATTGCTGCCTTTTGTGTGCTGAAAGATGTCATTTTGTCAGATTGTCAACGTTATGAACAAAGATTAAAAGCTTTGAACTATTCCGTAGAGTCCTGATACAAACTCAACTCTTCCTCCGTTTGTCTTCATAAATTCTGTAAAATGTTTCCCCGGTCATGTCCCTTCCTCCAGAATTTTCACAATAAAAGTTTTGGATCCTCCTTTATATAAGTCAACATCAGACTTCACTACTCACTGCTGGTGGTGGTGGTCTCTGTAGCGGCCCCCCCTCTCTCTGCTGCCGCGACGCTCTCTGCTACGACTTCTTCTCTTCTCTCGGCTGCGGCTGCGTTTGCGCTCTCGGCTCCGACTGGGCATCTTGTCCCGGCTGCGCTTCCTTTCGCGGCTGCGCTTCTTCCTGCCGGAGACAAACACACACAGCAAATCAGAGCACGGCCTGAGAGGGACACTCTTTTAACTCGGAAAAGACACTGACAGACACACAGACAGACGAGACAGGAAGACAGACAGACGAGACACAGCAACAGAAAGGAAGACAGACAGACAGACAGACAGGAAGGACGGACAGACAGTAAGACAGACAGGAAGGACAGACAGACAGACAGACAGACAGACAGACAGGTGTGTTTACCTCTTGGGGCGTTCCTCCTGTCCGTTAGGGCTCGGGTTCTTGGAGTCCTCCTGAGGTCAGAGAACAGCGTAAGGAGGCAACATACAGGTTCAAACAGTCTTATATAAACTTACATATAAATGTGGTTCTATGTGAGCTGTGAGGACCGTAGAGACCTGACTGGACCAGGTTCAGATGTGGTTCTATGTGAGCTGTGAGGACCCGTAGAGACGTGACTGGACCAGGTTCAGACGTGGTTCTACGTGAGCTCCAGTAGAGACCTGAAGGGACCACGTACAGATGTGGTTCTACGTGAGCTGTGAGGAGCAGTAGAGACCTGACTGGACCACGTTCAGATGTGGTCCTATGTGAGCTGTAAGGAGCAGTAGAGACCTGAAGGGACCACGTTCAGATTTGGTTCTATGTGAGCTGTGAGGACCAGTAGAAACCTGACTGGACCACGTTCAGATGGGATTCTATGTGAGCTGTGAGAACTAGTAGAGACCTGACTGGACCACGTTCAGATGTGGTTCTATGCGATGACCAGTAGAGACCTGACTGGACCACGTTCAGATGTGGTTCTATGCGATGACCAGTAGAGACCTGACTGGACCACGTTCAGATGTGGTTCTAGGTGAGCTGTGAGGACCAGTAGAGACCTGACTGGACCACGTTCAGATGTGGTTCTATGTGAGCTGTGAGGACCAGTAGAGACCTGACTGGACCACGTTCAGATGTGGTTCTATGTGAGCTGTGAGGTCTCACCTTCCTGTATGGAGCGTCCAGCATCGCCTCGATGTCCAGGTCATCTGCCATCCTGCTGCTGGTCTGCACACAAACAAACAATCAACGATTATATAAACATTTAGCATAACTAATTATTAAAACAGGCGAATTTATGAAGAAAGATTTTGTGAAACTTTTACTCAAATCAATCATGTCACTGATCTATATTTTGAGTATTTTAATACTCAAAATACTTTGACTAAAGGAAATCATACTTAAATAAAAACGCCAGAAGTAGCTTCATATATTCTGAGTACATTACTTCTCATAATACTTTGACTAAATTTAGTAGCTAACTAGTACTTCAATACAAGTAGCTTCATTGATTCTGAATACTTTGATACTCATAATACTTTGACTAAAGTTAGTAGTACTTCAATACAAACAGCTTCATATATGGTGAGTACTTTCATGATCATAATACTTCGACTAAAGTCACGTGACACAGTTTTACAGCTCGCAGGTTAAACTAGCTAAACACGGCTAACGGCTAACAGCTAACAGCTAACAGTTAGCCGTTAGCTTCCGGAAGGCTATGGAGCAACGAGCCGGTATCTAACGTTACTACCAGTATCTACGGCTACCGGCAGAACAGCACGTGAGCAGAGCGGAGTTTTACCTGGACACACAGCGGCACGCGGAGGGTGATTTAACGGTCGGTCTGGTGGCTAACGGTTGCTTCTTAAAGCTTTGCCCTCGCGACGACACACACGGTGCTTGCTCTAAATGGCGCTGTAGGGAGCCTCTCGCTGTTATCGCGAGATCTTCCAACCCGCGAGATAATAACAAAACAGTGATCGCTTCTGACCCATCTGTATCCGAACCTATGGAAGCCCATCTATGGAAGCCCAGTAGTGGAACTCAATAAATAAATACAATTAACTTTGTAATTTTTTTTATTTTTATTTAATTTAATTTTTGTAAAAAATAGCTTATTGTATACTGAATACTTTGCTTCTCATAATACTATCTCATACTTATGACTTATCTCATACTTATGACTTACTATCTCATATTTATGACTTATTATCTCATACTTAAGGATGAAATGCTAAGTCATAATTATCAGATACTAAGTCTTTATTTTGAGAACATCTCTCATTTTGATTTACAGGATCTGCATTTTTTTTTATTCACAGTTGTGGAAATGGGCTTAACAATCTGACTGGAACATGAATACGTCGATAATTGTTATTACATTACCATTTTCTATAATAATCACCACAGTTTTCTTTTCTTTTATTATTTTTACTTTTATTCAACATCTTCACCTCATTCCAATAGAGCACATTGAAATAGAAATCAAAGAAAGTAACACAACATGCAGCAGCCCCACACACACCGCCGCTGGACTTTAACTCCTTGTGAGGACTCATGGTGCGTTCAGGGACACTCAAAACTTCTGATGTTGTCTTCTTCGTGTTTCTGACTCTTCAATGACAACAACAAAAAAAAAAATCTCATCCTCTTTTGGCTCGTCAAGTCTCTTTTGGGACATCACACGGTGACATCATCAGTTTCTTAAGTCTCCCGTCAGCCAATCAGATGTCGTCCTGCTCCACTCGCTCTCTGGAGGAAACCCACCTGCTGACAATCACTTCCTGTTGATAGAAAACACCTATTTTTTCACTCCGTTTCCTATTTTGTCTGATTAAACTTCATCACTACTACTTTACATGCACAGTGATACGACGCCATTATTTTTCTGTCGATCAATTAGTCAATCATTTGACTTATTGAACAGCTGGTGCTTCCTGTTATCTACCTGAACCTTCAGTCTGCTCAGACAGACAGGTGAGTCCAGCTCAGCGTCTGATAGGTCGGCTGGATAGATGACGTAACACAACATCAGCTCCTGTAAAAACAAACACAAAGAAATAAAAACACCTGAATCAAATCTCACCCGACCTGACGTCCGTCGACTCGTTACCTTTGAGACGTTGGAGGTGATCCTGCTGAGAGCCGCCAGAGAACGCCACGAAAACGGACGCAATGACGAGCCCCTGAAGGCATCGTCAACCCGCTCAACTACAACCGAATAACTACAGGAAGAGGAGAGGGACAATTTGTGAAGATTAGAACATTTCTATCAAGTTGTTTTGCAAATCTTTCTTGGAAACTTTTTGGGAATTGCGGACTGAAAGTGAAAAAGATTATTATTCTTTATTTTAATTTTAAAGCACGACATGTGTGTGTATGTGTGTGTGCGTTACCTGGCGTGGTAGAAAGGTGGTCCTTTCCTATACAACACTGAAAACACACAGAAAAGAGAGAATCATGTAAATTGTGACAGACTGAATGTTTATCTCACTTCAGGCTCCGCCTCCTGTGCGCTGATGATTGAAAGCTGTCAATTATGTGTCCAAGTCACCTCAGACACTGGAGGATCATGGAACTGGTCCCAGTTTGAAACTGGTTTCTAACAGGGAAACTGTGTGTGTGTGTGTGTGTCTTACCGAGGTCCACGCCGTACTTGGCCCCGCCCCCAACTTTAGGGACCCACCCCCTGCTTCGACAGTGCTGATAGGCTGTGAACGAGCTCACAAAGTCGGGCCGCAGGGAGCGGAACTTTCGCCACAGCTGGATGATTGACAGAGGCGTCTGACCAATCACAGAAGAGGATATGGCCGATGTCATTAAATGAGTGAAACATTTTTTTGAAAGGAAGTTTTATTTGTTATTTATATTTACTCATAAAATGTAGAAACAGGAAGTCAAACAAAACATGGAAATGCAATTAACTCCGACAGACAGACAGACAGATAGTTACCTGGTTCAGGTAGACAGACAGACAGCCCAGACTGTAGACCAGGAAGAATGCCTGTACACAGTTTACAGAATGACCCTTTAGCCATTCAGATACAAATCAGATCACTATCTGAATCTGTCAGCAGACAAATTTCCCCTTGGGGATGAATAACGTATATTTCTATTCTATTCTATTCAGCTGAGGATCATGGGTAATGTAGTATTTATAGACAGAAACAAGCTGAAAAAAAAGTGTAACAAAATGTGATGGTTAGTGGGAGTGTTGGTGTGTTACCTCCTCCAGACTGAGTTGCAGGTACTCTGTGAGAGAGAAAGGAGTCCGCCGGACCTCCCTGACCCCCCCACACACCTGCAGACACAACACACACACACACACACACACACACACACACACACACACACACACACATCCACACACACTGATTATTCACACCAACACACCTGCAGACACTGACACATAAGTGTCATCTGGAGTGAGACGTCAAAGTCAAGATAATAATGAACATAAAAAGTCTGAAGACTCACCTCACTGTCTGAGACCACTAGGACAAAACCAGGACCCGGAACCAAAGGATCCGGGTCAGGACCAGAGTCAGAGTCAGAGTTGAGGTCAGGGTCTAGGTCAAAGTCCTGATCTGAGCCGGGATCAGAGTCCTGGTTTTGCTCGCCCAACCTAAATGTTTAGGAGAAGAGAGAGAATCTGTTTTCCTTTTTTTTGTAATTTAAGTGAGCGGACCCTTTAAACCCGGATTAGTTTAAAGTGAAATTCATTGTACAACAATTAGATTTATCCCCAAGCGAAGAGCACCACTCTACCTGCAGCTTCTCTTGGCCTCCGGCTCGACCCCTGACCCCGACCGAGGCCTCTTTGTGTGGGGACAGGCCCCCCCATTTGGTCCTGGCTCCTCCCCTCCACTCGCCTCCCTCCTCACATCCTCCATCTCTACTGGCTGAGAGAGGCTGAGCACGGTTTGATTGACAGCGTCTTCATCCAAACCCTGAGCAGAGAGCGCGGAACCTGCCCACCTGAGGAGCTCTTCGTATCTGCAGAAGAAGAAGAGGAGGAGGGTTTTTTATTTGTGAGAAAAAGCCGAGAGGATGTGATGTCATCATGTGAACAGACAGGATGTGATGTCACTCACCTGGACTGTGAGATGACAGGTAGAAACAAACCTTCGTGTTCTGTAACAAAACCAGAGAGCGGCTGACTGCAATGAACAGTGCTGATTGGACGAGACTGATGATGAGGTCATGGTGTGTGTGTGAACTCACGTTCCCATTGGTCAGAAATGCTGTGGTCCGGTCTGGCTCTGGACAGGACGCCTTTACCAAAGTAACCCTAGAACAAGACAAGACCGTGATGTAGACTAACTCAGACCTGGTTTCACGCAATGTGGACTAACTCAAATCTGGTTCCACGCAATGTGGACTAATTCGGACCTGGTTTAACGCAATGTAGACTAACTCAGACCTGGTCTCACGCAATGTGGACTGACTCAGACCTGGTCTCACGCAATGTAGACTAACTCAGACCTGGTCTCACACAGTGTAGACTAACTCAGATCTGGTATGACGCTATGTGGACTAACTCAGATCTGGTTTCATGCAATGTGGACCACCTCAGATCTGGTATCACGCAATGTGAACTAACTCAGAACTGGTTTCACGGAATGTGGACAAACTCCGACCAGGTTTTAGAGGGATTGGATTAACTCGGACCTTATTTTATATGACGTAGATTGTATCAGACAAGGTTTCACATGCTGAGGATTAATTCAAACCTGTTTTTTTAAGGATTTGGATCAACTCAGACCTGGTTAGAGGATGTGGATTAACTCAAATGTGGTCTAGAGGATAAGGATTCATTCAGTCCTTGTTTCAGATGATCTGGATTAAATCAGATCTGGATTCAAGTGATATGGACTAAATCATGGACTTTACATAAAGTGGACTAACTCAGACCTGGTTTCACCTGATGTGGATAAACTCAGACCTGGTTATAGATCTTCTGGATGTGGTCCGGATGACAGACCAGCACGTGTTGGTTGATGAGCTCCGCCCGGAAGTTGCTCGTCTCCCCCGGACTGCGGATCACCGGCAGCGGAGCCACGTACTCCTCGTGGACCCGCGTGCGTCTCCGCGGAGCCCGAAACTCCGCCTGCATGTTACCTGGTCTAACGGGGATCGGGTCTGACCAGAGGGAGCTGTAGTCCTCCACTGGATCCGGACTACTTTTTTTTTTTTTTGCGGATTTATTTTGCTGTGGGACGCTGCGGTGTCACCGAATTTGTGTCCGGTAGGGAACTGCCGGCCTCCTTCCGATAGGTCCTCCTTCAGTAAACTTGCTGTCTATATATATTTTTAAAGTCTAACATAAGTTAAAATTACATTTCCTAAAAGTCCTGTCAGAAGAAAAAAAACCTGAAAAGAAAATGAAGTATTTTTTTATGTTCTATTTTTATTCGAATTTTTTTGTTATTCCTTATTTATGTTTTGAATCAGAGGCATTTCTAGGAATTAAAATAAATAAAACATCTCCAACAAATAAACAAATAAAACCCAAATTATCTGAATTCAGAGGTCAGTTAGGGGAAGACATTTCTGTGAACGGAGCTGGAGGAGAGAAAGAGGTTATTTTGGATAAAGAGGCAGCAGAAACATGAATGTCTTTTATTTCGGAGTCTCGGGGAATGTTTTTTTGTTTTTCAATGAAAGTTAAATGAGTCAAAGTTCATCTTAACTAAATAGTTGTTGATCTATTAGAAGGGTTTACAAGTATGTCTTCTTATGATAGCAAAACGTTTATCTTATTTACATTATGTTCACATTATTTCCCTTTAATTAATAAGACAGACAGACAGACAGACAGGAAGAAACTATGTTTTCACAGCTCAAACATATTAATACAAGAGAAACATACAAGTACACACACAACATATACACGTGTATTTTTCATTTTATTTTAACTGCTGTACATATTAATGTAAAAGGCAACATGTTGACTTGAATACTGTGAAGATATTAAAGAAACCTGAGCTCAAATGTCATCTGCAGTTCAGGTTCAAATGTGATGAACATAAACTGTTTACTTATATAAGCTTATA